TCTGTGATTCTGTGTGATTCTGTGAAATACACGCCATCATCAGAGACTGACATGTTTGTGCTGTTCAGGCCCCATCTGGCAGGCTGATAATGCTGCCAGCATTTACTCCCAGCTTGTAGGTACAGCTAAGTGCAAGCAATTTAACAGTCTTGTACTGACAAGCTTGTTCCTGGTGTAAAATTCTGCATGTGCATCTGCAGGGAGGAGGAGGAGCAGGTAAGAAACCAGACAGGTCAAAACAGTCATCACTTTCTGCTGCTCCACAATCCTCCCCAGCTGAACACTTGCTGTCCTCGGTGTGCCTGTGCACACTTGGACACACGCATGCACCCATCTTCCGCTGACTGTTCTCGTCCCCCCGCGCTGGCTACAGCCCTCAATTTGCCTCAATTTGCTCCTGTACCCCCATTTGACTTGCCGTGGTACCTGTCCAGCCTTCTGCTCTGACCTTCATTTCAGCCTGCGTGTTCACATACTACCACATCGGTAATTTGTGATTTCCTTTTTCCCCCATAATCCCTTCCTTTTCTGTGAAGGTGGTGTTCACCGTTGGATGGTGTTGGTGTTGGGTGTTGGGCTCGATGCAGGTCCCTCAGGCGTTCGTCATTAGAGCCAGCACAAAATGGAGAAGCGGGTGCACAAAGTGGGAACTCAGGGAACTCTAGAAACCAAATTACTCCTAAAATTACCTCACCCTGAAGCGATATTTGAGGCGTCACATATTCCTGAGCATGATGGACCTTGCACAGGCTGCTGTGCTGCTAGGCACCAGGCATCACCTCACAGTGCTGCTAGGACTGGGCCTACCAGTCAGAGAGGCTCATGTTGGGGTCCAGAGGTCCTCTTTTCCCCCCATAATAAGACATCCAGGGTTCAACCACCTTCTCCATCTGGGGGGATTTCAAGGCCACATCTTCCCTGAGGCCACATGCTCTCCAGAAAGGGAGGGGACAGTTGCTACTGCTGGTCTCAAAGCTCAGGTGATGGCTTGCTCTCTGTGCTGACTCAGGGAAGCTCCTTCTACCACATCCCCATCCCTCTGCATCTCTTCCGGTGGTGCCTGGCTGGCCCACACACATACACAGGGCCCAAGCACCCACCCAGTGCTGCCAGAGAAGGAACCACAATGTTCAAGATGAGCAACATCCTGACCAGAAGCTGCTAGCTGCACAGCTGCAGCCTGCCCAGTCTGATGGGACCTTTGTTTTCCAAGATGCCCTTTGATCAGCCACCCGGAAGCCCCTGCTGGTGCTGCCGCTGGTGGGCTGTGACACCGCGGGGTAGTGCCGGGACAACGGGCGCATTGTGAGTTCTGCGAGCGTCCTTCTCCAGTCCTGGGACACCAGCATGCAGCGCTTCGCAAATCCGCTTCTCAGGCAGATCATTCACAGGGACTGCTTTGATGGTGCTTCAAAGAGACAGTGCCTGCAGTATTTAAGAGCTCTGAGGGCACTGCAGCTTAACAGTTTCAACACCATTTTTCTAGGGGAAACAGATATTCCAGAAAGTCTTATCACAGGAGAAAGAGTAGCCGAGGAGGATGGCCTGCGCTGGCCAGTATGGACAATTGTTCACGCCGGTAGCAACCAAGGGTGGGTGCCCTGGAGGTACAAAATTCTTTTAAGAGGCGATTTGCCCACCCACCGGCAGAACGGCATCTTTCAGGAGTTGTGTGATACCCTGGCCATGTCCTATGGGAAGTGCGTAATTGTGATGAGAGACAAAAGGCAGCTGATGCATGGCAGGGCAAAAGATGGCAAGGAGACAGAGATGGGGACTCTGCCACCAGTCCCACCAGCGAGCTACATGTCCAGCATTGCATGTTGCCCTGAAGTTGCTAGAGCCAATGGCCATGAGCTTCTTGTTGTGCCTTCATCTTACAGCTATCTCTACCCTCTGGATGTCACCTGGTCTTCTCTGAAATGGTTTGTTATGAACAACAGGAAGGACTTTGCCCTGAGGTCTGTTGAGAGGACCCAATCCTATAGGTGCATCCTCTTCAGTGATATGATTGATAAAGGAATAGAGAGGATGACCTCAAACAAATGGAAGGCAATGATTAGCAGAGTGAAGAGATGGGAGAACTACTACCTTGACACACTTTGTTAAATGCTTCTTCCTGCAGTCAGGCCTCAAATGTGTTTTGATTAAATTACCCTGTTCCAGCTCTTCTGACCCCTTTCCTTCAAAAGGTGTAAACCTAAAAAACCACATGTCACCAGCATAATAGAAGATGTGATAATTTTAAATGTGAATGTTTCATTTTAGGTGTATTCTAGGATTAGGTTGATATGTGCTATGCTTGTGCCGGGAAGGGACAGTTAATTTGCCTTATCATGAACACGGGTCAAAGCGTGCCTAAGGCCCACTTTAGCCAGTGTTTTGCATAAATTCCTCTGTCATGGGAATCACGACACCACGCCTCAGATGTAAATGCCCTCAATTTTGAGAAACACTGGGCTGCAAAATGAATTCTGCAGATCAGGCCTGTCTTTCACTCAAATGGGAGATCTGCCTCTGAGCAGGGAATATGCTGAACTGTGACTGACACCAGAGCCCTCAGCTTAAAGAAGTCTGAAGAATTTAATGTGGCTTTCCCATCATACACACATCAACATCTGATATCAGCTCAGTAGTTTATTACACCGAGTACCTTGCTTCCAACAGCACATAAATGTTCCAATAAACGTTTCAGTGACAGGTAGAAGAAATCTTTCTAAAATTTTCTTTCTGAAGCCTAACAATTAGCAGTTGGTTCAGGCTTTAAAGCATGAAGAGTTCAGTCTCTCAGGATAAAATACGGCATTCATCATCCAAAGTTTCCTTTCTTTACCCACAACATTGATTATTGAGATGTAATAATCTCCTCACAAAATTTAGTTTAAAAGTTTATTTATGAGGCATGCAAAATAGTATTTCTCAACAGTAGTTTTTTCAAGACCATTGAACACTTGTGTGTTGTTTTTAAAGTGGCTCTCAATTTACATTCTCCGTGTTGCTCATTACTGAGTATGTGTTTATTGTGTACTTCTTAGAGCACTAAGACCACAAAAAGATAAAAGAAGTAAGTTATGAGATGATTCACAGGTTCACAAAAATATTTCAATCCACTGAGGCAAATCTATGCAGTTTTTCTCCTGTGTGAGGAAACCTTCTAAAAGAGCATTGTAATCCGATATGGTAGAGAGATACCTAAAAAAGGGAGTTTCATCTACCTTCAGAAGAACCCACACATGTAATTCTCTAGAGCTGAAATGTGAATATACAGAGATAAATAACCATCTTTTCTCAGCTTCATATACTTCAGCAAAAACATCTGCTCATTTTTTACGAATACGGATGTAGCAGAGAATGGAAAATCAGGTGCTTCAGACAGAAGGAGGAATGAGTGGGGGGAAAAGGGGAGAGAGCGGAGAGGAGTAGAAATGTTTTTCTTTTCCTGGTATCGTGGCCCTGAATGTAATTTCACATTGGCTTGAAACAGCAATTGCTATACTAAATATTGATGAATATGAAGTGGTGTGAAATCAGTATGAGGAAAGAAAGAAGTCTGGTGCCTCTTTACCACAAGGATAGGCAGTAATTGCAGACTAGCTTGGTTTTCTTAAGAAACAAATGATGCACACCCCATTTTCCCCAGTGACTGTTTACCTTCACCCGATGACACTGCACTGTACTATTGGGGAGAAGTAGCAGAGGGCTGAAGCCCAAACCCGATGACTTCATTGCCGTGTTCTGGACTCAGGTGAAGAAGGAGGTCAAACCTGAAGGAAGCAGAGTCCCAGACTGCTGCCTCACCACAGCTCAGCCTTACCGGTCTCTGCTGCCATGGCTTGCACAGCTGTGGGTTTAGGGCCACATTGCAACACCTCTTCATTGGTAGGGTGTGCCTTCTGCCATCCCTATTTTGCAGTGGAGTCCGTGAGACCAGGTACAGAATCACCTCCTTTTACAGGAAGTATCAAAAGAAAGTAATTTCTGTCATGGGAATTCATCAGCCTTTCCTGTTTTGTGTTCTTTGGTAAAACGAGGGTGAAGCCTCCACGTTCCTCCATGGAAACAAGCATGAGGAAAGAGGAAGTGTTTAGTGCTACATCTCCCAGAGAGCACGGGAAAAATATCCTTTTGCTGCAAAGGGCTAGGAAAGCTTCCCAAAGCACCTTCACTCTTCCCAGCCTCCCGCTGGGAGGTTGAGGGCTGGCAAAACATTTCTGCTCAGTCTCATTAAATGTGTATGGAAACCTGCAGGCAAGAAAAAGAACTGAGTCTGAAATCAACTGAACTTCGGTATTTTATGTAAAATCCTCTGAGATGAGTCCTCTTCTTTCTTCAGTCCCACCTCCCCCCCTCTTGATGCTGCATAAAGGTAATTACAACCCATGTTTTCTGCAAAATGTTGTAACCCTTTGTACCGAAGAAAAATATTGTGGCTCATACAGTTCTGACTCAACTGGTAATTTAGGATGACAAGCAATTCCTTTAACATATGACTAAACAAGCTAATAGGAGGATGTTACCAAATAGCATGCACCTTATTCAAGAGCACTTGAAATAGCATGCACTGAGTCTAATATCTTCTTCGTAGGATTTTAAATACCTATTATTTTATTAGGTTTGCTAGCAATAGCTCTCACAGCGTGGCTCAGTACACTTGACCATTGCAGAATGCCAAAGCTAATTTCTTTGTTCCCACTCATGACTCTCTCTGTGTGACTGAAATGCACCACTAGAATAAAATTAATAAAGTATCTTTGCATAAGGAGGAGAGGCAGATGCAAATGCATATGGTGATGAAGAAGCAATAACAGATGTCCCTCTTCTCTAAGCTAGCTGGAATGCAAATCACCTGAATTTTTATGATGTCTCATTGACTAATTACTTCTAAATATTTTTCCAAGTCTTGTCTTCATGGAAAAAAACCCATTTCTTTTCCTCCAGCTCATGAAGCAGAACTGTAATGTTTGCCTCAACACTGTTTTTTCCCTTATTTTCAATTCCTCTGTCTTAATAGCGTGCTGCAACTCAGGATACAGGCAGGACAAATGCACCTTGGGCAAGAGCCTACAGAGGCCCAAGCCAGGGATGTAATGGTGGGACACAAGGTGTGACTGAGCAGGCTCAGCCCATTTTGTGCCATGCCTGAGAACTGGGAGACAGGTGGCTGTGCAGTGGAAAGGCAACCAACATTGCTCAAAGCCCAGCCTCTGTCTCTACAAACTTCTTCCTTGACATTTCCTTCTGCAGCAGCCATGTGGAGGAGGTATGGAGAGAAATGCACAGCAGAAAGGAGGAGGGATGCAGGAACAGTGTTCTATGTAAGGAAATGAAAACTAAGAAAACTATTTTAGAAAACAAATACATGTAAAGGCCAGTGTCTGACATTTCTTGTTGGCTAGCTGTAAGCCTCCTCAAATCAATGAGAAACACTAAGCCAGGAAATTAGCATGAATTTAGGCCAGAGGAATATGAGTCACAGCAAATCAAAAGAGCCATGAGACTGGGAAAGTGCCATAGTATTAGAAGCAGAGGCATTAGAGAGCAAAACCAACCAATATGAGGAAGTCCAGAAGAAAAAGAGACTAATAAAAAAGAATAGTCACTCATGCTTCTGAGTGTTTCTGGTGACCGGCAGGAAGCAGCTACATACATTATCTGCTCCATGACAGCCATCTCAAAGCCTTTGAATAGACAGAAAGAGTTTTATGGGGAAGCACAGCCTTTGGTGCTGGTACACACCGACATTTTCAATAGCTCTCTCATCACATTTAAAGAGGGAGAAATTGATGCCATACAGAGATATACATGAATACATGAGTAATCACTGTGTGCCCAACCAAACGTTTTCTCTACAGGAACACATGAGGAGTCCATTGCTATGGAGACAACTGTTCTGGCAACTATTGGGTATTTCTGTTATCACCTGGAGGAGGCCCTGCCGGTGCTCTGATTATCCCCAAGATTGGTACACACATATGCCAATTAAGGTCCAGCTGAGCCTAGATGATATTCTGGGTTTCCTCCAGTAGCCAAGGCAAACCAGTTCAAAAGCCAAAGCCAAACTGTGGCAGGATGTGAGTCGTGTGTAAACATCTAGCCAGCTCTGAGTCCCCAAACCAGGTAGCCAGCCTATCTGAAAATGGCTTTGGGCACATGTCCATGGAGGAAACATAAACTCAGGTTTTAGAACTTTTACCTGATCTGTCTCCACTCACTCATGTGGGTTCTGCATTTGTTTGTTTTCCACATGATCAGGAGCACACGAGATACAAGACTGTCAGAGGGTAGTCAGCTTCTTCATGTGAGGTCTCTCAGCTCCTCACTAAACTTGATTTGAAGGCCGAGGTTAGTACATAGTTAATAAACAGAGAGAGAATGCAGCAAGTTCATGCATCTTTGGAACCAATTTTGCAAAGTCTGTGAAGAACTGGTGAAAGCTGAAACAAGAGAGGTTTGTTTCAGCTCAGTCTCCTGGTTTCTCCCATGACAGAGCTGGAAAGGGGGCTATGAGAGTTTGCCAACACGCTCCTCTTTGACCACAGGGTTGACAGCTGGCAGGTAGGCAGAGATGCTGACTGAGTCAGCAGGTTAGAGCTGGGATCAAGGAGCACTGTGAAGGACTCTACCCCAGAGCGAGCATTTGCAGTGCCTTTACTAAGAAGAGCAGGAAAAAACAGCTGGAATAGTTGACCCTCGAGAGAAAAACTGAGGAAGGAAATGTTGGGAATAGTTGTTTGCCTGTGAGGCTCTTAGAGCTTATAGCCCAAGACCTGAAAAACATTCAGCTCCCTGACTTGCTGCACAATGGCTGGAGAGCAATCTCATGGCCTTCAGACTAAAGGCATTCAAATCAGGCTGAGTTCATTCCAGCCAAAGTCTAAACTAGATAATGAGAAGACAGTCTCACTGCATGCTCCTTCCCTTTTGTTTTCACTTTAAGGATGACAGATACCCCACAGCCACTGAGGTCTTTTAGACTGGAGGAGCCCTATTCTGGCAGCCACGTAAGTTCTCTCAGAACCTGTGAGAGTTTATTATTTTCCCTTAAAATCACAGCAGCTCCTTTGCTTATTACTATGCAAGGATTTCTGCTTTTTTAAAAAACACAAGGT